AAATATGTCTAATAAAGTCATGATTTGTATCTTTGCCCTCTCCTAATAGTTTTACTTAACTTCTCATCACTTAGACTTGGCAATAGGTGGTAAACCCTATCTAATGACCCACAGTCAAACACACCTTATCTAATGACCCAGAGTCAAATTAGTGAGAATTTTTGGACGTATGTAATTCCATTTTAATGAGTTGTTGAATTATTTTTGGCCTTATATAAGAAAAAGAGAAGCAAAAGACCTCCAACAACTTTATTTATAGGGCATATCTAGTTACCTGTTAATTTAAAGGCATTTTGAGAGGAGCCATGCATCACTTTTTTTTATTCTAACTAGATTGAATTAAGAAAATAAACTTTATAAGCATAAAATTAAGTTAAAATGTAGTTGACTATATAACAATAGAGGGATATTTCGAGAGTAATTTATTACAAATAAATATAATGCATTATAGTAAAAGGTAACTTTTCAACTCAAAAATCTCAAAAAAATTCATTTTGGCATTCATAGTTGATTACTTTTTTTATTTAGTTGATTTTTTTTTTTCTCTTTGAAGCATTATAACCAATTACAAAAGAATATAGTCCATTATATTTTGTTAGTGATTTTTTGTGTCCAAAAATTTATTTTTCTTAGCCAAAACCAAACATTTTTATGTATGATTTTCCTAAAAGTATCTTTCAGAGAGTGGGTTACAAAAAAAACTCATAAAATACAACACAATATGATTTTAAATTATATTATTGACATTTTTTTATTTAAGTTGTTATATGGTATTTATGGATATTAGATCTTAGAGGGAGTGATGGTGTCATATTACAAAAAGGAAAATACTCGTAGAATGACGAGGTGGCAAATAAAGTTATGCATATATTCCTTAATCCATGAATAGGATCTCTGTAGGCACATAGTCATAGATCCATGGATCTATACATCTTGATTGGAAATGAATAGATACAAAAAGTACAAATCAAAATTGATCGATATATTTCTTGAAACAAATGAGAAGAATATAAAAGATAAAATTTAAATAATGAATCAACTAAACTTTCTTGATGGCTTGTTTAAGAATAAGAAAGAAAAATCTTTCATTTTTTAATTTATTCAAATAATAATTAATTAAGGTGATACAAAATTACAAATAACAATTTTCTGTACATAAAAAAGAATCATTTTGCAGGTTTATTATTATTATTATTATTATTATTGAACATAAGAAATTATAGAGAAAGGGAGAATTTTTCATGTAATTGATAAGAGTTGAATTTTTGAGTAATTAAATCAAAATACTAAAATTTTAGAATAAATTATTAGATTTGAAGGTCTTATTCACAAATTCATTATTATAAGTATATAAATAAAATTAAAAACAAACTAGTGAAGAAAGAGTTAAAACATGGTAAAATAAGAAATTAGTAGATTTGTGTTGAAATTGTTTGTTTGGAAATATTCTAAAAGGCTAATGTAGGTTCTTCTGTTCGTCAGAATAATAGGGTTATTATGGTCATTATAAAAGTTGTTGAAGAAATAAAATATAATTAAGGCTTATCCTTTTTCATCATAAATTAAATTCATCATCAAAAGAATAATTAGGCCAAGAGGAATGCCAC